CCCCAAAACCCCAAAACCCCAAAACCCCAAAACCCCGAGTAATTAAGAATCGCTTGAAAATCTGATAATGGTTTTCTCAAATATTTTATTACAAATAACTCTTCTTTTCATCAATAATTTCCAAAAAGTCGGCCAAAAAGTGGTACTCCTGCTTTCTCTTCCTATCATCAATGACCACACTGGTATCTTTCAGCTCATCAATGAGCTCTAGTACTGAGAACTGGAAGGGATGCTCTTCTTCAAATGCAATATTGTATTCATCAGTGAGCTCTTGTACGATCTCTTCAAGATCTTCTCTCTTGCATTCAACTTTCTTTAGTCTCAGCTTAGTGATGATTGTATAAGCCTGCTGCATCATTTCAAGGATTCTTCCATGCCTAGCTACTACATTCTTGATAACATTCTCATTCAAAGGCCACTTAGCCTTAAAGATCAGGCACAAGAGGAGGACTAGCAGCTGGCAGGATATGAAGATACTCATTATTATGTAGAGAGAGATTGTGAAATACTTGTTTACCAATAAACCATTCTTTAACCCACTTATTTCTTGCTGCACCATGTACAATGGCCCACAGATATGACAGAGCTGGAAGAAAAACAGGAAATTGCTGCTAGTACAACGGAAAGGACGGCAAGCAAACATGAAAAGTGTGAGGAAGGTGAACCCTACAGCGATTATCGTTGATTTCGTCTTCATTGAACGCTCGAAGAAAGCATGAACAACTATCATAGCAAGAATGAACATATTAAAGAACGGTTTGAAATAGATTCTCATCTTTGAACCCTTAAACGATGAAAACATGAAGAAACTTTGTTTTCTCCATGAATCTGAGATTTCAAGCACGTACTCTAATTCCTTCCTCTTAATAAATCCATCATGGTCTTTCTCTCTGTATGAGATCTTTCTTTTTCTGATCATAAAGAAGAGGAAAACATTGTATAAAATTCCGAGAATCACCAGAGCAACAGCACCTAATGGGAACCAGAATTTGGCTCCTGCATCTTCTCATTCATGAAGACTCAACCCATTCTTGATGGTATCGTATCTACAACTTAGCATTGGTACAAGGTTCACAAAGATTGGGATATAAAGCAGCTCAAGGATATTAAAGCTCCATTTCTTCAACAATGTCTTCGAATGCTTGAATTCGTGCCTTAGTATTTTTATTCTTGAAACGGATAATCCGAAGAGAGCAATGAGACCCACCACAGCAGCCCATCCGATGATGTTGTAAAGGTAGAGTGAGAATTTTTCAATAAAGTCATAGTAACCGTCATTGAGATAGATGAAATTGAACCCTACTCCTATCACATAATTGCCAAGCATCTCTTGAAAGTCAAAAGGCCAATACTCAAAGAATGCTATATACGTGAAACTCCAAAGCTGGAGGTATCTTATAGTCATCAGAAGTTTCTCTTCCCAGAAGAGGGAGATTCCGAAATTTCCGAAACAGTTTCGCTTTTGTCTAATAAGCTTGTCCACATCTGTCTGCATCACTTTGAGATATTTCTTATACTCAAGAGGATACTTGGCTTCCTCAATATTGAAGACCTTATTTCTTATCAACAGGATCTGATTGAGTCGCTGTTTCACTACCAGTGTATTTAAAACTGTCTTCAATAGGAGTTTCCATCTCATGAATCTTGTTAAAGGAATGACCTTCCTTCTCTGGATCAACTATTGAGTCATCATGGTTGATAGGCTTCCTTCCATATTGCTCCTGATACTTCTCGTCCTCGCTATGATCGCTAGGCTCGTACATTTTATAATATAATTTTATTAAATCTATTTCGATAATTTCTTTGGGGTTTTGGGGTTTTGGGGTTTTGGGGTTTTGGGGTTTTGGGGTTTTGGGGTTTTGGGG